CCTTGATCCACTATACCTATTTAGACGTCGTCTAGGCAGCAACAAGCAGTCCACACAAAAGCCCTTGTCAATTGTTCGGAGGGTTTATGTCTAGTCCCAGAGGCTAGACTCCGACACAGCATCGAATTGCCCCGAACGATTTACAATCACTATAGGTACTACTAAGGTAGGGGTTTGTTACACGCGCACCAAGCCTCGGTGGGACTTCAACGTCAAGCATGTTTCGATCCAATTCATGTTTACAGCAGTCCGGCTGAACGAGCTGCTGACGGAGGGGACGGTTCGGCAAGAACGATTGTATACTTGTAGCTAAACTTGACTCGGCCACAAATGATAATCGTCGAGTCCAGTCACTCAAATCCCGAGACTTAATCCGTCAGGCCGAGCGGCAAGTCGGTGGAAATCCGCCGCAGGACACAACATCTGGAAGGGGCCACAAGAGCATCTCACGACATGTCTTGGAGTTCCTTGCCGCGAGTTTAGGGTGGCACCGTACTTCTGCATGTGCTTTGACTGCGATGCTGCAGTCATCTCAAGGGTGATATGAAAATTTGACGAGACGACTTGTCCCCCACGTCGTGCATCTACAGCCTCCTCTCGCGCCAGGCACCCAAGTCGTGATCCGGAACGTGTTGGGAAGCTTCGAAAAGTCTTCCCGGCGAATTCCTGTGGCAAGGCTGTCTGCCGTAGTTGCTTCATGGACTTTCTATAAAAAGGTAGGTTCGGATGCCAGTGCTTGCGTTCTGCTGAATCAAACAAACCAGGCGAGCACGAACTCTTCTCCTTCCTTTCTTTGACCCTTTCCTTCGGGCTACTTTCGTTCGGAGAGAAGGCAAAAACATCATGCGGTTTCTTGTTACCACAACTACTTCTTACATTCGTGGCGGGACGAAAAAGTCCACTTACATCAGCTTACACGATCCCCAGTCTGATCTTTCCGCCCCTTTGTCCAACCGCAATGAGGTGGATGTATGGATCTGCGACGGCCCAGAAGTCACTGGTGATCTGATGGACCAGTGGTTGGAGCAGTCTAGCCATAGCCCCAAGTCCATGCTCGTGAGAGATGTTGAAGCTATCTCTCGTCTGAGACACCATGCTAGGAGCCGCTTATTCCACATCGCCACTTTTCCTGAACACGTGGATGGTGTCTCAAAGAAGGAGTGGGAAGAAGCTGTCCTCCGTGAAGCAGAGATGCTATACGCCAGGGCCCGTGCCGAAACTGACACTCAACGCGTCAACGCCAACATCGAGACCAAGGGGTCTTCACCTAGTGAAACCAACGTTTTACTCATCGGCGCCGGCATCATGAACCTTATTGCCGCCCATCTCCTTGCCAGGCGCGGTTACAAAGTTCGCGTCGTCGACCAAGGTCCCGACCCTCGGGCTTGCCAGCTCAAAGACTGGACCGCGCTGGGTGTCACGAGTGGCGGACACAATGCCCGCATGTTCACAAACACCGAGGCGGACAACTACAATGAGCAGGACAGCGAGATCTACCAAGACATGCAGTCTATCTTCCGTAAGACTGTTCGTGGCGGTGGATGGAGTGTCAAGTCTCCTGAGGATTTCAACGCCGCAGAGAATGACTGGGTCAGCGCTTTCGAGCGTGTTCCAGGCTGGATGGCGGCACACTTCAAGAAAAACATCCATGAGGTCAACGTTGAGTCCGGAAAGCTCTGGAGGGAGCTGATGAAGAACGAACCTCAGCTCTTCGAGGATGTCGGGCTTCACGAAGACATCATACGCCTGTACGTCGAGGATGTGGCCCTGGAAGCATCGGTTGGGCTCAACCAAGACCTCGGGGCTCTTCTGGAGGCACCATCTACCCAGAAATTCTTGGAGACATATCCTGTCTTCCGCCCGGCTGCTGCAGCAGATCATCTTGCTGGAGGCATTATTGTGGATGGTTTTACGGTGAACATTCACTTATTCGTGGGCAAGTTGATCAATTCCATCTCCAACCTCGGCGCCGAGTTCATTTGGGACTGCGAGGTCCAGGCCATCCAGCGCAATTCCGCTGGCGAGGTGACTGTTTTGAAATCAAAGAAAGGCGACTTGAAGGCTGATCACTTCATTTTGAGTCCTGGTACGACCGGAAGCGCGCTGCTCCAGGGAACGGCCAGCGAGAATCTCATCCAGGGGGTCCTAGGCATCTGGCTGCAGATTCCCAACCTGAACCCAAAGATGCGCAACTCGATGAAGATTCATAGACGAGGACACAAAGTCGAGGATATCAACATCACTGTGGCAAGAGACCGCGAGACTGGGGAGGACATCCTTGTCTTTGGCGGCGCATACGGCTACGTCGGTCTGGGCCGTCCAGACCCAGACTCTCCTGAGATGAAGGCTCTCTACGACGAGCTGGAAGAGGTTGCGCGCATCTATTTCCCGGAAGGTTACGCAGCCGCAAAAAGCCGTGGTCCAAATGTCATGTACCCTGGGGGACATCGCAAGTACTGTGTCCGCCCGTTCACGCCTACTGGTCTCGGAGTATTTGAGAGAATTCCTACAGCAGGCGGCGGTCAGCTCATCATCACCGGTGGCAACAATACGGGAGGCTTCGCTCAGGCGCCCAGCATGGCCCGTGCAATTCTACGTTCATTCTCGGGCGAACATGATCCTGTCCACATCTTCTTCCACCCAGATCGTGGCAAATTGCCTCCCGCAATCAACTACAGATCTCGGACCCCGAGCCCGAGCCCGGCCTTGGCAACGAACGAGGCTCTGAAGACCCCGCTGAGGCTGCTCCTCGTTTGCTCCGACGGTCCTCAGCACCGCTACCTGCGGTACCGCCTAGACCGGGCCTTCCCTGGCTACCGTTGTGTTCAAGAGACTAGCGACGGTCAAGTACGGCAGCTGATGAACAAGGGCCGTGTTGTCGACGCTTGCTGGCAACAGTACCACGGCCTCAGACGCGGCTTCTTCGGTCACGATGTCCGACGCGCGGCACACTTTGACAAACTTGTGCCATCAGGCCACGTTTCGCCCGCGCCAGATCTGGTGGTTGATAGCGTCAACTGCCGCGCAGTATGGAATGCTACCGAGAAGTGGCAGCCGGAACTGACTATTGTCTCGGGGACCAAGTACATTGGCAAGAAGTTGATGGCACGCGCGGGACTGATGATCAACATGCACACTGGCCACTTGCCGGAGTACAAGGGCAACCACTGCGTCTTCTTTGCGTTGTATGATGGGGCTGTAGACAAGGTTGCGTCGACCCTGCATCAGCTGACGCCAGAGCTTGATGGGGGTGATGTGCTCGACAGGGTGTTTCCGGACATTGACCCCGAAGATAACGAGGATACGTTGTACACCAAGTGTCTTGAGAAGTCGATAGATCGATGCGTAGAACACATCGAACAGTTCTCGAAGGGAAACAAACTGGAATTTGTACCGCAGCAAGCTGGAGGTAGGACATATCGGCACCGTGATCGTACGCCTGGAAAAGAGCTTGCGTTATGGTGGTCACTGAAGGCAGGCGGCTTATTGAAGTCGAGCCAAGGTGGTAAAGAGATAGACACAGACTAGAATGATCGTAGCGCGCAAGAGAAGTACTTCAATAGCTATTCCAGCAACTCTCGTTGTATCTTTTCAAATTTCTTTTGGCTATTCCAATTTTCTTTATTTGACTTGGAAGCTTTGCAACTTCATACTTATCTGCCTTATTCTACACTAGTGACGCCGACTCAAATGCAAAGATAACTTTTAGGCAGAACCAACATCCTACTGCCACCAAAAGCTAAGATCACCTAGTTTCTGCACGTATCGTTCCGTGTTCCTCCCATCTTTACAGTCAAGATCATCGCACCAGAGGAAGTGTTTAGCCTCGTAGTCGGTTTTTGGTTCGAATGAAGTGGGTTTTGCAGCAAGCACCCCGTGGACGTGGGGTGTACTCTTCCAGCCGTCAATATCTTGAAACCTGGGTATGAAATTTCCAAAGCCTCTGCTCAGATATAATGTGTCACCTTCTAAATTCCATGAGTACAAGCTGCGACAAGTTTGGTATGCCTTCCTGCGTTTCGCCGCATAAAAGAGCGCTGACGACTTCCGACACGGTGAACCCCTGAGTGATTGTCCTGGATCATTGCACAAGCGGAGTTGGGCACACGTCCACCAAAACATATTTTCCGACCCTAGCGATGGATATGGTCTGCTGTTACCTGCCATACAAGAACAAACGCTGGGATCGAAAGCTACCACGAGCCGATCAAAGTTCATGTGGGAACACAGCAAGCGTCCGAATTTTCCTTGGAGCTCCTTGAATTTAGCCGCGAGGACGGTGTCTGTAAACGGTTGCTCATCGATGTTTTCATGATCGGAAACTTCCAGGAGACAGAATAAGATCGGCTGAGGTGTTTAACCCAATCCTTAATGTAACTCAAAAATTCCACGTCGACTGAAGGAGGCTTCATGCCCTTCATTGATGATTGTCTGCAAATCTTTTCGCAAGTCAAGCACCTCTCTAGGCACCGAGTGGTGAAGGTGTCTTTTTGCCCTTCGCTGAGGGGTCAATTCATCGTGGCTTGGCTTGAATCCCACGCCAAACGACCGAGAGTGATCGTCTTGTGCATACATATCTGAACCAAACCCTCATACAGACGACAGAATCGCCTCGGGACGTGGTCATCTCGTTCTAGAGGTGAAAATTGAAGTCTTGGGTGGTCCTTGTTGCAGTAAGAGCAGAATAAGCTGTCCATCAGCCTTGTTTGACGTTGCCTGAAATCTGGCGACTTTCTCATGCCGAGACAAAAGCTGCAAAACGCGCGTTCCTGGGCAACTTTGATTACATCGTTGTACTTGGTTAAGCTACTGGATTCAAATATTTTCGAATAATTCAATTTGTCGAACGTGCGGTCGAGGTAGAGTCGCCAAAATGTGTATGAGACCTGTCGCAGCAGGTAGAGGTCGCTGAGCTCCGCCTGCTTCATTATCATTAGCAGAATCCCGTCTGGCAAACCAATTAATCTGCTGCGACGGACATTGTTGACGAGGTTTGGTTCCTAAGTAGGCAATTTCCCGAATAAGCTCGTCATCTTTTCTTCGTCGGTAACCTTTTCTTCATCGTCGGTAACCCACTCGTCATCGTCGGTAATCCCTTGTTCATCGTTGGTAATCAATTCTTCATCGTCGGTAATCAACTCTTCATTGCCACCCACCTCCTCTGCGCCAAAATCTGAATTGGTGGCTGATTCCTTGTCGGAGCCAAGTCGATTAAGCGCTGTAATGAGATAATCGATAATCAATGCTAAGCAAAACATAGCCGCCAACAAGTAACAGGTCCTTAGAAGATAAGTATTATTCATTCTGGGGACTGCCCTCTGGATGTTGCTTCAGTGACGAGTTGTTCAAGAGTATCAGTATGGTCGAATAGTTACTTACGTTAAGGGACGTAGAAGGTATGTAGGTGTGATTCAATGCGGCAAGATGCAGAGGTGTTGTAGTATTTGATAGGCAAGTGCTAATCCATCATGGTGCGCTTTGAAACATTCCTCAGTTGGGAATGAGCTTCCAGGGGAAGGTTGATCGAGCCCACCAAGGTTTACATCGCAACCTTGTTCTCACAAGTGGGGACGTGAGCTGCATTTTAGGGACTCAAGTTGCTATCGAGGAAATCTAAAATTGGACTTGATGAGTCACAAGTAAAGGAGGCTTACCGTAGTGGGTACTATCAGCAGTCCCATGGTCACCAGAAATAATTATCGTGATGGTGATCGATCATTTGCTAGAACTACATGTAGGGATGGATTTTAACGAGGCCCCAGAATCCGATCGGCTGGCACGCTAGGCACGACTGTCTTGAAGTGGACCTTGCTGAGTGCTAGGCAATACATAACACAGGTTACTTGACGACGACCCAGTGTGTGCCGCTACCGAAGCTGGCGATAATCTTCGTCATCGACCACTGCGAATGACCTGTGCATTCAGGGAATCTAGCGGTTTTATAGACCAGAAACTAAGGGTCTTCCTACACGGGTATCTTTCCTGAGCGGAGCCGATTTCTGAGAAAAATGACTGCATGTAGTTTCATTCTCAACTCTCAGTCATACGTCAGATGGACTGCTTTCTTCCCAATGAGCTCCCGTTGTATGCCTTAATCACTAACGCGGTCATTTTTTATTACAAAGCTTCGAGTCAGTCTCGGATGGGTGCGGATGCTCCGCAATCGCGCTAATAACATCGCTTGCACGCAATGAGCCCGAGTAATGGACAAAATTTGCATGTTTCAATCGGGTTCCAGGGCAGAAGCGATCGGTTCTTGGTATTCACCGGGACGCTGCCGAAAGCTCGGCGCCCGCGCCCTCCGAGTAGCCCCTTGAACCACCCGGTGACATCTCCGATTGACTGACCCGTCCGATCGGGTCCACTAGAATAAAGAACGGATGAGCCCCCTCTAGCCTTGAGCTCCTGGCCAAGAGTGGCGCAATTGCTCTGAAAAGAGCCCTGCGCCACGGGGCAAGATCAATTTCTGTTCAATGCATACGGACCGGAGCGCTTTATATAGCAATAAGGCTGAGAAGATACGAGAAGTGGTCCAGTAGCCAGGCCATGTTTTCTTCAGAGCCTCAACAGATATAACGTCGAACGAGGTGTTTGTTTCCAGCGGTCTAGTATCACTAGAGTATGACTCGCCAACGGGCAGAGAAGCCACTCTTTCATTATTTCTCTCTCTCCACCCCCGACAACTCAGTCCGCAAAACCATGTCTCCCATTCAGGAACCCAGCGTTCCCGCTCTCACGGAAATGGATCAAAGGGGGGACGTTGTCTTCGTCGTCGGAACGGCAGTCGACAACACCCCTGCCCGGAGCTTCCGCGTCTGTTCCCGGACGATGGCACGCATCTCCCCCGTCTTTGACCGCATGCTACACGGCAGCTTTGCCGAGTCTAAACCGACAGCACCGAGCTCCGATCTCATCAGCCTTTCATCATCCGGAATCAACGGAACGACGACATCGCCGGCAAAAGATTGGATCGTCCACCTTCGCGACGACAGGCCCGATTCTTTTGACCTCCTCGCGAGCATCGCTCACAGCCAGTTCCAGAGAATACCGCGAGCCTTGTCGATTGCTAAGCTTTACGAGTTGACGGTACTGACGCACTACTATGATGCAACTCCCGTATTGTCGCCTTGGCTACAGACGTGGGTTTCGGGCATCGCAGAGTCACCAGAAACGACTAGTAGTAGCATCGCCGGACCCGAGGGAGAGCTTTTGATGCCCAAATTACTGTGGATTTCGTGGGAGTTGGGCCATAAACAGCTCTTTGAGTCGACAGCACGGCGAATGGTAATGGAGAGTAGTGGTAATTTGTTCGGTGACGAGAGCGGGCTTGGCGATTTGAGTATGCCGCCGGACGTCATCGGTGAGTCTCTTTCCCCGTTCACTGTAGCAATCCTACTTGCCTTTTTTCTCTTTAGATCTCAAGTTTTTATGAGAACCTCTTCACTGACACCTTTTCCATAGAACGAATCGCTGCCATCAGGACGCAGACAATTCAGTCCATCATGGACGTCTTCAGTACTCTGGCAGAGAAGCTTGTCAGCGTAGATGAAGGGCCTCGGTGGTGTAGACATGCGTCATACATGGGGCCACACCGGTGCGAGAGCATGATACTTGGCAGCATGACCTTTTGTCTCATGAGGGCAAGTCTATGGCCGATTCCAGAGGCCGACGACATCGACGAGAGCGTATTGACGCTATACTCGACACTGACGAACCTGGTGATCCACGATATTGGGCGGCCGTCGGATAAGGGCGGCGTCGATCACAGCGAGTGTAATCCCAGGGGGTTTTTGATGGAAAGGATCAAGAATATTTTGGCAGACGTGCCGAGCCCTGTAGGGGAGGCACATCGGAAACAACTGGATAGACAGATACAGAAGCTGCTTATTTGACCACGGTTGCATATAAAATGGAATAGACAAAAAGAATGCAAAACATGAAAAATGCCGTCTAGCCAGTGCGATCATCTCACCGCGGATTCTCTTCCAAGAGACAATGCTTGAATAATTAAAAACTGAGATAGCAGCAACCCAATGAATGAGAGGAGGTCATGCAGCTCTTCAACAGCTGAAAACATCTTGATTGTCAAAAATTTTGATGTGCATCGTTGCTCAGTCTTGTTGTATCCAAGACTTTTTCCCGACTGGGTAACGTAGCTTGGGGTTCGCAAGTTTGTTGACTGGCTGTTCCTTTGACTTTCTCGGGCTATTTCAGAATCTACCTCACAAACTTTCTTTTCACACCAATGACTCTCATTCACCTCCCCCCAAAGCTGTGCGAGGTTACTTTGCTGAAAAAAAAGAAAAAGACATCATCGACATCCTGGCGTCTGATGTTGACGCCAAGAGCATGAGAGAGTCATTGGAATGACTTGGTTACAGGATCTGGGGGTGTACAGTCGCAATACTGTGGCAAGGGATCACGGGTAATGAGCGGTTGCAAAGCATTCTGTGCAATCCTAGCACGATCAAACAAGTATATGTAAAGATTATTTCAACATTCACCATGAGCTCTTACGTAAGTCTCAGAGGGTTAGACTTCGTTGACAAGGCGTGGTGTGACCTTCCAACCCCCTTTTCAGAACCGGAACAACTCCCGAAAGATCCCTGGTGGCCAGGCTTGCATTTAGGGCTGCTGCGGTGAGCGCTAATCGGGCGTCAATAATGCCCGAATTCGGCGGACGACCGTGCCACAGCCGACGGGATGAACAGGCCTCACTGAGTCAGCATAGCCACTGGAGTGGGTTGACTACCAGCCAACGTATGTTAAGTTTCGGTAGTGGAAGTATTTTTATCTCTCCAAATACCGGAGCCCCAGGCGGGAAGAGTATCGAACAGGAGTATCGTCATTCATCCATGCACTAAAGTCAATCCACGATCGCGAACTGCGTTGAGTTAGCTGAGCCTTCCGGTTAGCCGAGAGTACACGTCGAAGCAGCTCAGAATCGAGAAACATCGATGGCAGCTCAACTGCACCGGCCATGTCGAGAACGCGGAGCGGCTGTTTGAACTGCAAACGCCGCCACCGCAAATGCGACGAGGGCCGGCCCGAATGTTTACAGTGTATAGGTCAAGGTGTCGAATGCTCAGGATACCAGACTGTCCTTCGATGGGGTTCGGGTATTGCCTCGAGGGGGCGCTTTGCCGGAGCGCTCGTACCTGTCGAAATCGAAGCGCCTCCGCCCGCCAAGCGCAAGAAGAAATCTAAGCTCGATGAAAAAACAAGAGAAATTGACAGCCTTGCAGGAGAAGGCTCGTCTGGGACTCTGAAACAGCTCAATCCAAATGCTGTTGCAGTTCCATCAACAGCACTCACAGGCGCGGCTGGGTTCGGCGCGGCGCCACCCGAGACAACCTGGCCGGGCCGTACAGAGCAAGACAGGCGTCTTTTGGAAAAATGTGAGTGAAATGATCATAGGCGCGACTTATCATACCTGTGAAAATCTCTTACGGGTCTGGCGGCATGCCAAAATTGAATACCTTACTCCATGCTTCAAATTTGAACTTCATACCCTACGCTGTGCTAGCCACTGACAGTATCCTACTTTAGTCAATGAGACTACTGTCTTTATGCTTCATTCAAGTCGACGGGATGGCTTATTCAGATCGAAGCTTAGACAGCTAGCAGAGAGATCTGAAGCACTCTGTGCTATTTTGCTGGCCACTCACCTCTACATCTCAAACCCAGATGATCCTTCACAACTTTTCGAAGAGTACTACCTTCGAGGCCTTTCGCTCTTCCGCAACCAATTGGAATCATTCAATGGGAGTGTTGATCTTGGCGCAATGTACGCTGGGCTTTTCATCTGCACCCTGAATGTGAGTTATCTTGCAAGCCGTAAATATTACACTACAGTGCCTTACCGTGATGCATGAAATTTTTTATGTCTCGTCTCCTGAGCTTTATATCCGATGATTGATGTCTTGGAAAAGCTTATGTCTATCAGACTGAAATACTAATCCTTGATGAACACAGCTATTTCAGAGTGCTCCTTGGTCCATCCACCTCGAGCTCATGACAACAGTCTACGGTCTCAACAAAGACCTCCACAACTCACCTGTTCTATCCGAACCTGAAGCGCGGTTTGCCTTAGAGCTAATGGGTCTCATGGACATGCCGACCTTTGTTCGCGGTCGCTCAACTTTGTCGTTGGGAATCTGGAAAAGATTGCGGGTTGCACAAGGATCAATAGGTATGAAAAGGGGCGGCATTCAATCTGTTTCAAGCCTCCCAAGATCCTTGCTCGATATTTTTGCGAATATTCAGGACGAAGATTCTGACACATATTTCTTGCAATGGTTTGGAGAAACGGGGGAGATACCGCAGATCCATCTGTGGGAGGCGTACCGTCTAGCAGGTATTCTGACTGGTCGACGACTACGCATCCGTGCAAACACAGTCATTACGGCAGCTGCATCAACATCATGCCCTGCCACTCCTTCTGCCGAGGTACTATTAGGCCGCTTAGTCGCGTCCATGGACGCGCTCTGCGATGCGACCAGCCGGCCTGAATATTCACAGCTCCTCACGACTAATGCACTGCTCTATCCCTATGTGGCTGCGCGGCTTGAAGTGGCTATCTTGCTTCGCCAGCCCACCTGGATGGAATCACTCCGGCGAGTAACAGAGAAATATCAACCATACGGCAAGACAGCGAACGCGCGTAACATTACCGAGATGCTAGATGAAGCTTGGGACTCAGGAGATGATGCGTATGATATTGATGAGCAAGCAAGAAGGCGGAATGTCGAGGTTGCCCTATTCTGAGGAAACATCACGAAATTTTACTACGGGAGTCTGTATCTTCATTCTTTTGAGGGCATATTGGTTACAACCCTCTGAAGTCAAGAGCTACTACGGCGTTCAAGTGCGGCCGGATCACCTGCCGCCGTAAGGACGGGCGATGTGGGTGAGTACAAAATAAGTATAAGGGTTGAATCGCGGAAAGATAATAACTCTGGGAGATGTGTTAGCGGCAAAGGCTTTGGAATGTTCCTAGTAATACCATGATAGTTCTGAAATACAGTTAAGTAAGTCTAGCTAATAAATGCTATATTTGTGTCTATACTCAAATATTAATTAATGACTCGTAGTCTTTTTCTTTAATTATTTACCCAGTTTTAATTCCAACTTAATACCTCACCTTCAAAGAGTCCCTCCGTACGCCCAGCTTTTCGTTTTCTACTTCAACGGTTTCGTAGTAGTTAGGGATATAGCATCTTTCCTTGCCGCCACCAGAGCACCCCGGGGCTCTTAGGTCCATGGCCACGCGGACGCGATCGTTTGGGCACTTCGCTGCGCAAAAGTCCTCGCGGCTGCTAGCAGGACCAGAGCCCGTGTTAGAATACTACTCACAATCGGCAGCGCACATACCCATTCAAATTAATCAAATAAATAAGTTAAATAAATAGTTAAATATAGGAATTTTAGTAAGTTAAATAATTAAATATCGTAAGGCCCTATATTTAACGTATTTAATTAAATATAAGATTACTTAGAAAAAGGAAAATCCGGGGCCGGGCTAATTAAAAATTAATATTCCTAACTATATACCTAGAAATTTATAATTAAGAATATAAATACTTATAGCGGGATTCGAACCTATAACTCCTTATTTACGACTATAAGTTTAGTATTATACTACTTAACTAAATAGATTATTAATAATTATTATAAAAAAAAAAAAGCCTAAGTAGTATAGAGCGCTAGATTTAGTATTTTATTATATTTAAAAATCTAAAAAACTTATAGTACCCCCTTTTTTTAATATTAATAAAACTAACGAAGTTATATACTACTATTTCTAACCCTTTGCGATTATTATAATTATTATTAAAATTAATTAAATTATATATTAATCGATTTATTATATCGTAATTAATTAATTAGTAATAAGTTATACGATTTTTAGTACGTAGTAGCTATTTTGGATTATTTTATAGCTATAAACCCTAACCGACGTTAGTTTCGTATTATTAACTAACCTCGATAATCGTAATAACCTCTTTACCCTTTTAAAAGTAATTTAAAAAAGGAGGACTTTTATTAATAACGATTTAATATTATAAAAGGGTATAAGGTTAAAGAAGTCGTAGATCTATTTAAAGGGGGTCTTTACTTAAAAAATCTATAATAAAAATAGTTAAGGTAAAGTCTTTTAGTTTTATTATTATTATAATAAAATAGGTATTATTACTTATTTTAAAATAGTAGCTACGAGTTTAGTAACGACTTATTTAAAATTAAAATACTAAGTAATAGATTTAAGCTCTAGCGAGTTACTATATTTATTAAAATCTTTAGAATACGACTCTATACTAAAAAGATAAAAACTTACCTCTAGTACTATTATAAAAGGCTAGGTAATAAGAATTAAGGAATTAGTAATTAGGTATATTATTAATAATAATAGCCTATTTATAACTTTTTAGGATCCTTACTTCCGGGCCCTCTTCTATTAGTTAAATTATAGTACTATTAATAAACTCTTATTATTATATAGAAATATAAAAAAGGAGCTAAGTAAGATCTTTATTAAAAAAAAAAAATATAATTAGGGTAGAGATCTAGAGGTTAATAATAAAAGTCTATTTATTATTTAATTTATAGACCTCGCTAATATAGAATATTATTATTACCGTTTTTACTTATTTTTTAAATTACGCTAGGTAATAGATATAATATTTTATTATTTTATAATAATAGTATAGTACTTATAATAGGGCTAATATTACCTAGATTATAAAATTAGTAATAAATAACTAGGAATTAAGTAACTAAGTTAGAGTAGTTATTTATAATAATACCTTAAATAATAATACTTACTTATGTTATTTATATCCTATATTATTTTATACCTATACTTAAGAAGATGTTCTTAATTAGAAGATTAAGTACTATAGTTATATTTTTAACCTCGTTAGTAGGGTTTTTTTATTTAGTAATAATAAAGAGGTATTTAAATAAAAATTAGATATATGAATTAATACTAAGTAACTTTAAAAAGATCTTAACTTCTAGTATATAAGGGGCCCTATTAATAAGCTTTAGAACGTTATTAAATTTATTTACTTATTATTTTAATAATATAAGGCCTTTTTTGAGGTTAATAATAAGACTAACGAGAATAATATATTTACTCTTTTTAAAGAGTCGTTATAAGAGCTTATACTAACACTTAATAATAATATAAAGTAGAATTCGATATACTTTATAATATAGCGCTTTTTATAAAAGAGAAAGTAGATTTATACTTTCTTAATAACTAGTCGAGCTTATAAGGATTTAAAGTAACGGATCCCTATCGAGGACGTTTTTAATAATAATAATTAGTAGTTATTAGCCGAGCTAAAGGTAGTATTTAAGCTATTTTATTTTTAGATAATAAGATATTAGGGTTAGGGTAAAAAAGACGGTTATAGCTATTTATAAGAAGTAATAGTAAGTCTCGAGTACTTTATTAACCGTTTCGAGGAGTAAAAAAAGTTATATAATAAACTTTTTAAAAAAAAGATAGATCTTATAGCTTTTTAAATCGTAACGTCGTAATCGTAGTTAACGTAAATAATACTACTTCGTTAGCGGTTAGTTCGTTATTAATTTATATCCTAACCTCTTTTTTAATTTCTAACTTTAAGTAGTATCCCTCGTTATATTTAGTTTAAATATATACTTAGGGAGCGAGTAAAGCTACTTCTTAGTAATAATTTTAACTCGCAAGGATATTTCTAACTATTAGTTATTAATATTTAGTAAGTCCTTAATAAGTATTATACTAAGTTAAGTAACTCTCTGCTCTATGCTATAGTAATTATTCTTTACCCTAAATAAAAATTAAAATAGTTAGAAAAGAGGTAAGATATACCCGAGTAAAGCTACTAACTATTTAATATAAAAAAGGGACTCTATAATTATTAATAAAAATAGTATATAAATAAGATAGTAAGTCCTCCTCTTTATTATCTAAGTCCTCTTTTTTTATTATAATAGTTATAAATTATTTTTATTACCCTTACGATTTTAAAGAGTATTATAAAAGACTCGTAGTATTAGTAATAGTTAATATTTTAAATAATAGAAGTAGTAATTAATTACGTACCTAAGCTTAATTAATATTACTTATAGATTATCCTTTAGCCAGTCCTTAACCTAATTTAATAATAGATTAATTATTAGTTAACCTATTTAACGTTAAGTAAGCTTATATTTAATATTTTTACGATCTTTATAATAATAATAGATTACGAGAGGATATTTAGCCTCGCGAAGTTAATTTTAATTTTATAGCGATTATTAATAAGATCTTTTATACTAAAGGAGGTTTAATATTTTAAGAACTAGTTTTATAGCGGTACTATAGAAGTAAGAGGTCAATTTTTTAATTAAAAGAGCTAATCGAGGTAAAGTCTATAAATTAGTATTATAAGGACTTTCGTAATAGCTTTATTTAATTCCTAATTAGGAAATTAGTTAAATTAATTAATTATTTATTAAATAAGTTAAATAATTAAATATAGCGCGAGAAATTAGCTAAATAATTAAATATAAACCTTATATTTGATTTGTTTGTTTGGGTATAAGCGCTGATAATTGGAGAAGGTTATCTTCTTATTGCTTGTGTTGTAGCACAGCTTGTGCTCACCACTGGCAACCATGCGGCCTCCACGCAAGACTTTGGAAACACTACAGTCAGATCAAGATCGTACTTATTACTGAAGGCTTCGGCTTGATAGGAATTTGGTACTCACGCTTCTTGCAAACTTCGGCGCCACCTATACCAATAGACGACGAAGCCAATAAAGTCTTCATTGACTGGTCGCCGCTCTGAGCAGGACACCTTGCTTGATCGTCGCATTTCGAAAATGCGCCTAGTTCATACAGCGTATACAGCTTGATGCGTTGAGTATCTTTTGTACAGCAAGCTGCTTGGAACTGCCCATTGTTGCAATACTTCTTTTTCGAACCAATGAGGACCATGTTATCAGGGCAGCTGCCGGTGCATTTCCCGTTGTTGTGCGTGTACTAACCGCACTTTGGCTGCTTCCAAGTCGCTGGACAGCAGAAAGCATGGAAGGCCGTACCATCGCTGCCCGTCTGATCGAATATGTACTCTTTGCCTCGCGCCCCTGGGTCCCTGCGCGGTACAATCGCCCATCCAGGAGCACAGCCAACGTTGCAGTTGATCCACCTGCATTGTTCGTTGGGAATGTCGACGAACTCGATCAGGTCATCTTTCAAACCCACGTTCACGAGCAGGAAGAGGATCTTGCGGTTCGCCACCTTTGCCAGCGCTTTGTTGTACTTAATCTTTCGTATCGTGACTGATTGTCCAAACCATCAAGCCGCCTAGGCACATACTCTGATCGTACTCGGACTTGAGTTGGAAGGTCTCTTCGTCATCGCAGGCCACACACTGGGCCGGATTGCCCCAAGCAGCTACTTTCACAGCCTCTTTTTCTTGTACAATTTTGGCTTTATGTTGTGTTGATTGACAAGGTCGTCGATCTCGGAGTTGAGCAAAACACCCACTTCTCCGCTGCATTTGCCCTTTTATGCCCCGGATTCGTATGTGCAACCTGGTTCGAGGCAAGACGGGCTAGTGGTAGTGAAGATTCGCCCACAGAATCCAAGGCCCATGACGACCTGACTGGGGTTGATATTGTTGCGCCAAAGAAGATCGAGGGCCAGATCGACTTCGGTAAGGTTGCTACGCGCATTCAGACAGGCACCGACCCAGGTGGTGTTCTTGTCCCAAGTTCCGTGTAGGTCGCAGGACATAATGTTGAACCAGTGCGCTGTTTTAGCCAGTGCTATAATATCAAAATGCTGAAGATACCAGAAAGATGCCGGGAGTGTAATAGAAATCCCCTTTTGACCTGAATTAAAGGACGCCTTTAGTCGGCTCATGAACTTCGGGAAATTCACATAGTCAACGCCCCTTCCTGATCGATCTTCGGCCACAGCATACTCCCAGTCCAGATCAACGCCGTCAAATCCATAGGTAGACATGAACGACATGAGAGACTCGATGAAAGCCTTTTGTTTCGTGACAGATGCGGCCAAATCAGAAAAGGTCCTGGTCGTGGGGCCTGGATCGTTGAATGTCCAGCCACCAATAGCGATGAAAACCTTCAGGCCCGGATCTTTTTTCTTCAAGTGCATAAGACATCTGTAAAGGCCCACGTCCGTCAGTGACGCTGGCTGAACCCTGAAGCTGGATGGGTCGATAGTAGCAAAGGCGAAGTTGATCTAAGCTCCTCCACATCCTAGTTCACGAACACAAACTTGCCATTCAGGAAAGATGCCTCGGGGCTGGTGACCTAGACGAGGTAGTCTACAGGGAGAGAGACTAAATCGAGTCAGCAATCAAAAGATAGGCTACAACATCTCTACTGTTGAGGGATCATGGAAGAGGTGAGAGTATAGAAGAGAGCATACCATCATCGTAAGGGAACTTCAATGCCGCCTCCTCAAGTTCCACCGCCATCGGCGTTCGGATGAGACTAGGGTGAATAGTCACAATGCTTAGTTTGTCGGGATTTTCGGCAGCCAGATACTCCACCAACTTCGGCAGAACCGCCTTACTGACGATGTAACCGCCCATTCCAGGGATAGGAGGCATAAGCATGCCTGCGGTGTTGAGGCTGACCAGAACAGGTTTCGAACCGGCACTCTTCTCCGAGGCACCAATTGGTGATAGAGACTGCGCCACGTTCAAAGTACCCTTGATTTTGACTCCCAGCGCTTTCCAAAGTTCTTCGACAGGCATTGTCGAGATTGGGCCGAGAGCCAGGAGCACGCCAGCGGCGTGAATGACGATGCCAATTTGTCCAAAGGTAGACACAGTCTCAGCCATGACAGACTTCAAGGTCTTGACATCGTTGATGTCGGCTCCGTGAAGGCGAACTTGCACGTCAGGGCCCTTTTGAGAGATGATTGCTGCTGTCTTCGTCAGGGGTTCCGTGCGGCGGCCGATGAGAATCAGGGCCTTGGCACTGGCGGGGGCAAAGGAGGTGGCCGCTGCCTGTCCGATGCCTGATCCAGCTCCGGTGATGAGGACGACTTTACCCGCAGCGGAGTTGGCGGGATTAGATGCAGATATGGCCGGGTAGCTGACGTTGTGATTGGCCTTAGTGTAAGACATCTTGTAAGTTGTGAGAAGGTTTTTTTTTTTTTTTTTACAGGTGACTTGTGGCAATGAAAAGAAGGATAGATGATGAAGATTGAAGTTGATGTGAGAAGTATCATGTAAATCCCGAGCTGACGCTGCATCTCGCTAGGTCTCATACTACACCCGATTTCCTTCATCAGTTGAGATTTCTTGTATTTGATCTTACCTTAGGTTGCTCAACTGTTGTGCTTGCGAGCCTTCCATAGAGTGGAAAGCAAAGCCTCAAAGGTCTAGCAAGGCATGTTTTTGGAGGGTATTAAGACCAGAAGATGGGTTGGTAATTGCGATTGAGTTCCATCTCTGGAAAAATGCGGAGATAAACGATTACCTCAAAGAGGCACAACCGAGGATCCCATCAAAGTGTGTTTGCCCACTGCTTGATAATATTACCATAGGCGTAATGTTTTGTAATGATTTGCTAGATAAGTTTCGGGTTTTAGCTGCTGCCAAATTCGTCTCGTCTGCAAGACAATGTGCCGAAATCCGGGTGATAACAGCCGTTGCACCTGATTCTCCCGCGCGGCCCGTGGATGACGCGGGACTATTTAATGTGCTTGAACAATTGACTTTGAGAATCTCATCAATAACGACGGTGCACCATACCTTCAACGCTTGAGCAACTCTTAGGGATTCCAGACCCCTTCCAATGAGTATACATAACTCAAGCCGTGCACTGGTAACAATATTTGTTCAAGCCTATTTCCAGAAATATTATTTGAATTGTTACACGTGTTTCGAATTCGAATATGATGTCAAATGAACCCCGAGATCACTCCTAAGCGCGCCCCGTCACAACTTTGCCTGCAATGACTTCTTTGTCGGCTATCACAGAGTTGTTGTACGCAGTCACATCCCGGAAGTAGAGCTCCGTCCCCGGCGTCTCGTAAGTCCCATCACTGTCCAGTCCCCTGAGATGGAAAATCTGGTGTGTACGCCCGGCTCCCGAGGTAACGGTATTGTCTGCGTATCTGGAATAGTTCGCGGTTCCATTCCTGTCCGTATCAATGACGCTGCCGACCCACTTCGATCCCTCATCCTCAAAGGCTTCAAGGCCGGTCGGGTAGACGGTGTTTCCCTGGACGTGAAGCTTGAGGCCTTGATCCAGCTGTGCCCATAGAGTCAAATTTCCTGCCGGGAGATACGAGGTGGTTGTGTTGCAGTAGAGCGGGTACGAAAAGGTTGTCTTGTAGTCCCAACCAGGAACTTCTGACGTCTCCTCGCCAATGGTCGAGAACGTATTGATGCCTCCGTAACCGTTGGCGTACAGGCCTCCAACGTTGGAGTATGAGAGGCTCTGCTTCCAAGTTGCTGTGCCGTTGCCCTTCTGCGTATTGAGGAACGAGGTGATCGTGAAATCGCGTTGCACCGATAAGGAATAATCCAGGGTCGAGTTGAAGCCGGTAGCGTTTTGCTTGAGCGTCTGTGAGAATGCAATGGAGGGCTCAGGGTTTATTTTCTTAGAAATGACACCCGTCGTGATGCTTCCTTCGTCGTCAAGCCATAGGAAGACCTTGCCTACAAGGTACCAACTACTACCCGTGGTATTTGTGAGGCTGGCGCTTGACTTGCCGTCATCCATTAGCCCGACAACTTTGATGCCAATGGTGTGGTTATTTCCGTCACAAAGAAGGGGCAGCCACGGGGTGATGTCAATCTCGTGATCTCGCAAGTCGAACGTGTTGATACCCACAATCGGGCGATGGAGTTGGGGCACCACACCGCCTGTGAAGATGTCTGGAAAGGGCCAGTGCACACCCGCCAATTGACCGTCGATAAGGACCTGGACCTCTCGGAAAGGCGAATATCCCGGATAGCTACCCACATCCGGCACGAAAGCATCTACGGCTGACTGCGGGACGTTACTCCACCAAAACTCCTCGTTCCCTTGTCCCTTGACAGACGTGGAGAAGACGGCCCGGTTGACGTTACGAGGAAATTGGACAGAAGCAGTGGCGTTCTCTTCAGGGTACGTCCAAAAGCTGGCAGTGACTGGACTCTTGTTGGCAGAAACTGGCAGGACGAGGTCTGCTGGCGCTTGTCCTCCGGTCCGAACGGAACTCTTGAAGAAGGTGGCCGTGAGAGTGGAGTTGAGCAGGCCTGTGTAGACGTCTGTAATGACATTGTCAAGTTGAAATATGAGAGTCTGTGGCTCTTTCCAGAGTGACAGATACGGCGTGGAATCCTTCAACCAGGTCCAGGTGATGCCGTATGACGTGGGCTCGGCGGTGGAGGTCGCGAAGATGTTGACATCGCCCAAGTACACGGAGCCCCAGCGATCGAATTGCCTGCCCCTAACCTCGACGGTGAAGTTGAGCACGACGTGATCAAAGTCGAAGTCTGGGGGCGAATAGTCTCCAACGAAAGGGGCACCGTAGCTGTTGGCAAACTGGTGCTCCATCAACGTGACCGTAACTGCTTGCCCTGTAGGCTCCAGGACAGGCTCGGCCACTTGAAAGGTGTCAAGCAGCGGTGTTCTCGTAGAGGCTGGCGGCGCGGTCGCACTAGGCGTGACATCTGCGTCGTATGCGATGCGATCCATGTGAGCCAAGACATGCCCGATTCTGGGGCTCCGCACATCCAGCTCGTGGTATTGCGCCGCGCGCTGGACATGGAACTGCTCTCCACAAGCCAAGGATGCAAGGGACCCGAGGAGGAGGAGTCCCTTGAGCAAGCCCCAACCGCCGCCGGTCTGGTTGTTGATTGTGCCCATTGCTTCGTCAGGAATATTTCTTGACTACTTGATGACCAAGCAGACACCTTCAATGCCTTGCCACAGAGACAAAGTGAGCAAAGAGTTGGTGACGGCGACATTCGAGGGGTGGGACGGGCGTGGTTTAAGAGAGTGTACTGGAAGAGCGGGAGTCCGGCAACCGGCGGGATGCACGTCCGGTGGGGCAAAGTCCCCAAAACCGGCAGGTGACAGTGGTGTGATAGGATCGCCATAGCGCCATGACATGGGTTGCCCAGGCAAGATAAGATGAACCCCTGGGCTTCGACGATTGTCAAGGTTCAACAGCGTCAAAGTTATTTTACAACAGATATTAATACTCCTTTAACCCAAATAACGCAGTCGGGCAGTGTTTCCATATGAGAAGCAGGAAGGAAGAAGACAGTCCTGACCAAATTGGAGTGAGATAGATCTTTGAGGCTTCTCACATTCAATAAGCATAGTCGCGTCACGGTACATAACGAGTACATGATTGACTTTACAGGTATTTCGCTTATCACTGCATTGAGCAGTCTCATTCTAAATGAGCATATTGATAATGATGCAATGTTAGTCGGCTTATTCAATGCATATTGAAGAAGTGTTGCGACACAGCTGATGCTTGCCGATCGAAACCGTCAACGTATAGCCGATACAAGTTGGATGCACAGAACATATACAAGAGCTACTTGCACTAACAGCATGTAATGGCCAAGCCGACTGGAGCCCGAGATGGCATACTATCCATTCTTGAAGACCTCTATCGTCCAGCCAATGCTTGCAATCCTCAGTCTACTTTCATGGTCAGCTAGGACCAACGTCCATCGCCAGTCTAGCTAGGATTATGTCGATGAAGCAAAAAATCGACATAAAATCATCTCCTAGACTGGGTCGTGACGATTCAAGGCAAAAAGCTGCGTCGAGGGGGAATCGAACCCCCGGCTCCCCGACGCTGCTTGATGGCAACGGAGAATTTTACCACTAAACCATCGACGCGATTGATAGTAGATGTTAGCTGTGAGAGCGGTTGTTATGAAACCCTATGAAATCTGTAAAGTTGTGGATCGTTAGGGTTATGGCAGTAACAAGGTCCATCGTGAGCAAGGGTTACGATACCCTCAATCGCGCTAGGTGGTGGAAATATGGAGTGCATCTGAGGTGGGGTAGGGAATGAGCATGAATAAGGCCCGAAAACCCATGAGGAAACCACATGTGATGCGAATGCGAGCGAGGTTTCTAAAGCAGACAGCCTGCCTCTGTCTAGATCACGGCCGTCTCTCGCTTTACTCAGTATTATTGTTTGTGTCTTGTTTCCGATGCCTCAGTAAGTCCTGGCTCGTATTTTGTCTATTCCTTGTGTAATGTTCGTTCATCGCTCTCGTTGTTGAGCGATTTGTGGTGTAAATTGTCGATTACCATTCGTAAGAAGAAAGATAACAATAGACTTTAGCACATGCAACTTGTTCTCTTTTGCCGTTGAAAACACGAAATCTAAGCCATCTGCTGACTGCTTTGCTCGTTTTGTCTCATTAATCGTCGTCTTATTCCTTTTCTCAAGCCATCTAGACCCATTGCATAGATCATCATCTGTTCCATTTGAACCAAAGGCAATCACGTTTGGGGCAAGTACAGCAGGATTTGGTCAGCAAAGTCCGAGATGAGTAAGGCGCCGACGGAATGGCGATGGGATCTTGCTTGCATGATTAGCGCCCCATATCACCGCCCTTCTTTGACAACCTCCCCACCTCACTGTGATCAATGCATCCCCATTCCTTCAAACCCCCACTCCCGACCAACATCAGCCAACTTCACTGCGTCACGTTGAGGCATTCCTGTCAAGACTAGAGAACCTTCGTATCTGCGCTCGCTGTGACTATTTCAAGTCATTCAACGGGAAGAAGCGATGGAAAAGCCGTTGTTAATGGCCGACAATGTTCTGACAAATGCGCGGTCCAATGAAGTGGACGATGATTTCGACCTCAGTCTGTTCCTTTCCGACGAAGCGTTTTCCGATATGTTTCCCAAAGACTCGAGAAATCCCGACGATGCAGTGAATGGAACACAATCTGAAGACGGACGGATATCTGCATCTTCAAGCGTGTCTGGTGGTGTCCCACTCTTCGAAGAACGTGAGCCACTACAAGACACGCCGAACACCACGGAGGGCGGAACGAAAGTGGGCAGTCGCTTCACATCAGCAAACATCAGAGTCCTGAAAACATGGTTCGAAAACCACGAGCGGCATCCGTATCCGACCCCGGATCAG